GAGAGATAGAGAGAGCGAGAGAAAGCGAGCAAGAGAGTGACAATCCTTGACATAAAAAAAATCCCTGTTCTGCACTTTTGCTCTTCGAGACAAAGCTTCCAAGGAGCGGAGCAGGGCCAAAACGATAACTTGGAAATTCAATTAACCTACTTGTAGTCTTTGCTGGCACCCCTGCTGGCCGATGCGGGGCCGGGCGGCAGCAGCAGCGGTGCTGCACAGGGTAGCACAGTACCTCGGGGGTACCTCGGCGTACCTCGGGTGGTACTACGTGGGTAGGGTGCTACTCGTTGGCAGCGGGGGGCTCCGCCAAGTTGCTCCGCTGCTGATGAAAGTCCGCAGGTACCAGCGAGAAATTAATGAGAGCAAGGCGCCACCATATTCAAAACAAACCGAGCCGGCTTGTTAGACGAAGCGGGGCGGGGTGGGGTGGGGTGGGAGATTGTGTTTGGGGGTTGGGGTAGCGACCACCGTACCGCTGGGGGGAGCAGCAGCGCAGCGCACCGCGGCTCACTCGGTGTATAAAGCGGGCAAGAAAGGGGGCTGCAGCAGTCGGTGGGGCGAGCGCGCCTGCCAAGTCGACTATAGGCCACCCGCACGCGGCGCTGTCGTGCGCGCGCTCGGGCGGCCTACCTCCCGGGCGCGGAGGGCTCTGGCCTGTGGCCACAACCACAGCCTCCCCACCTCCCGTCTGCTCCCCTGCCGCCGCTTTTAATGCAATTCTAATGCACAGAGTCGCGGCGTCCCTTTCCTTTGTCGCAGTGCAGCGCGACGTGCGCGTTCTTCCTCTCGCTCCTCCTGACTGCTGCTGCTGCTGCCGCGGGCGAGAGGGTAGCGCTGGGAGGGCTGGGAGGCTTCTGGTGTGGACTTACTTGGCATATTCGCACACACGCACACACACAAACACACATAGTGAAAAGTACCTTAGTAAATTTACAACATATTTTGTCTTACGAGTACAGAATATGAAGGTTGTAAATTTACGACAGCCCGTTCTTGGTTCTCCATGGAAAAAAAGTCGATGTACATAGTGCTTGTAATTTTCCAATTTTATGTGTTGTCATTTTACAACAGAGAATTTTCCTGTAACACTTTTCTTACAGTGCGCGCGCGCACACACACATTTCACGTGCGCCGTGCGTGCATCGGAACACGCTTA